GGTCGGGCGTGTCCTCCTACAGGTGGATCTTCGGACGGAAAATAACACACAATCAACAAAGACTCGAAACATGCTGAACAAAAACAAACATCGTCCCCAGACTGCTTTAAGTAATCTTTAATATTTCTCCTGTAGAGGGACAGGCCCGACTCAACTGTAGCTTCAAAATTCGTACTGTAGGTCGCCCAACTTCGCGCGTCGCGCCCAGCGACGCGCAACGCGCTGATACACCTTCGCACCCTCGCGCCACCGCCTTGTCGAAGGGTGCATCTCCGGCCCGGGCCGCGGCGCGCGAGGGCACACGGCTGTCTTCGCTCGCCCCTGTGGGGGCAGCCCAGCTTCGTCGATCCCCTTTCGCAGGGTACGCGCCGAAAGAAGAAAGAAGAAAACATACAATAATAATAATGATCAGTTTATGATTATTACTACTACTACGTCTACTACTACTACTACTACGACTACTACTACTTCTACAACAACTACTACTACTACTACTACTACTCCTACTCCTACTCCTACTACTACTACTACTACTACTACTACTACTACTACTACTACTACTACTACTACTACTACTACTAATCATAATAATACTAATAGTAATAATAGTAATAATAATAACAATGATAATACTGATAATAATAATAACAATGATAACAATAATAACATCAATCCAAACCATGACAACACCAATACGCATAGCAACAATAATAACCATGATATCGCCTCCGGCCCCGGCCTGCTCCTCACCTCCCTCCACGACGCCCTCGGAATATCGGGCACCAAGGCCGTTCCAGAGCACTCTCAGGGAAGCTCTGGTAGCCTTCCGGAACACCCTGGCGCGACTAGGAATCGAACCCTCCTACAGGTCCACCTCCTTCTTCTCCCCTCCCGCCTCCGCTTCTGTTGGTTTTCCTGCTCTCCTCCAAGAAGGGGGAGGAGGAGGACCGAGATGGACTCGTATAGCGATGCATCCTCGCCCTCGGGGTCCTCACCCCCCCCTCCTCGTCCAAGATCCGCCAGCATCGCACCAGGAAACTGGCTGCGATCGGAGGGGGCCTCGGATCGGGCCGGGCCGGGCAGGACCGATCGACCCGTGTCGATCGGAGTGGACAACCGCCCCCCTCGACGCCCCCGACTTTCGATCCGCCCGATCTTCACTCGAAGGTCCCGGAACGGTGTGGTGACAAACCTTGTGGTGACCGGGCCTTCCGACGCTCCAAGAACACCCCAGAGGCAGGGCTCGTTTCGATTCCTCCGATTCGATTCGATTCGATTTCGATGGCTTCCGATTCCGATTCGATTCGACTTGAGATTCCGACTTGGGCTCCGATTTCTTATTGGAGGCCTACTAGCCTGCCGATGTCTGCCGATTCGACGTTTCCCGACTCGGCTGCCGATTTCCGCCGATCCGATTCATTTCGATCGCCGATCCGACTCATTCCGATCCGATTCTGGGCTCTCCTGCCAGAGGCCCCCAGGATCGCCTCGAGGCGGCCCGAGGGGCCCTCGGCAGGGCCCCGAGGCAGCCCGGGAGGGCTCCAAAACCGGGGAGGGCGCCGTCTGAGGCCCTCGCCCACGCTGCCCCCCCTCCATCGACCGCCCCGCACCAGGACAGCCGGGCCTACAGTCGAGGCGTTGACCTAAGGAACCCTAAGCAAGGGATCAGGCCCCTTTTTTCCAGACGTGAAACTTCGACTTCCCCTCGACACCTTCAGGAAAACCTCGGGCAAGGTAGGTGTGGAACAATTCTAGACGCTTCGCGTATCCCCACCAGCCCGTCCAGAAACGACGCCCAGGCGAGTGGAGGGTCGTCCTGAGGGGCTTTTCGGCGTCTTGGGTGCCTCGGGGGGGCCTCTTTGGGCCGTTTGGGATCCTCTTGGGGGCCTCCTGGGGGCCTCTTGGGGCCATCTTGGGGCCATCTTGGGGCCTCTTGGTGCCTCCTGGGCGCTTCTTGGGGCCATCTTGGAGGAAATCGATCAAAGAAGAGGGGAGCTTCAATTAGTGCTGCCCCCTCTGGGGGCCAAAATGGGGCCAAAACCTTAGTAAAAGCAATGATTTTAGCTTCCTCGGCGAGGCCGTTTTGGACGCTCTGACCGCTCCCCGCCCCCCCTGTCCAGGTCAGTGGGGAGGGGGTAGGGGGAGGGATAAACCCCTCCCCGAAGGGGAAGAAGGAGGGGTGGAAGAGGAAACGCACTAAACCACCGACGCCCAGAGGGCTGGTGGGATTAAGGAACACGGAGCCCCTCCCCAACGCAAAGGGTTCCTTCTTCAGCGCCCCGACTGTAGGATTTCAGTCGGGCCTGTCCTCCCAAAGAGGGATTTTGGAGGAAAAATGAAATAGTAAAACGATAGCCCCAGAGTGGTCAGTAAAAACAAAAACGTCCCCCTACTATGTTTTGTTTATTCTTGAACACCCCTCCTGTAGAGGGACAGGCCCGACTGAAACCGACGACACAAGAACATCCTTTAAGAACATGGGACCCTCCGCCAGCCCCGC